CTCCTCTAAGGATGACACATCTTACAAATACTGGACCTTACCTTTGAATGTGCCTTCAACTCCTTTTAAATCCTGCCACTGTCAAGGGCATACAGCACCACAAGCTGAACGCCATATAGGATCAGGCCTCTTGATTCTATTGTGAATGACAAATCACTGGACTGTAACCTTGTTGCCGGCTCTTCCCCACCTAACTGGCCAGGATTTTCTGATGTCCTTTTGTTCTGTTTCAGGTATTAAATGAAGCAGTTGGGGCGATGATGTACCACACTATCACCCTCACCCGAGAAGATCTAGAGAAGTTCAAGGCCTTAAGGGTTATTGTTCGAATAGGCAGTGGTTATGACAACATTGATATCAAAGCTGCAGGGGAGCTCGGTAGGTTTTCATTCTGTGTAGAGGCTTTTTCGCCATTTGTTTGTTTCTCTTTAAATCAGCACAGGGGATTTCGTTTTTTAACTGCATAATATCAACATGGGTTTCAGATCATATTTTCAAATGGGTATTAATTCAAACCCTAAAATTGTGAGTGAAGTTGTGTGTGTTTTATAATTTTGTAAAGAAAAGAACATGACTATGCAATAAAATAGTGGACAATTGCAGTTTTAGAAACTGCTTTTTAAAGGTTGCCAGAAAAGAACATGACTATGCAATAAAATAGAAACTGCTTTTTAAAGGTTGCTTCAGTTAGAATTATATATTTCTATATCTCCCTCCACATCAAAAAACAAAAAGAGATTTATGTGGATTTTAGATTGTTTTTATTAGTTCTGTGGAGAATTTTTGTTATTTTTGTTAGTATTTATTTCTCCATCATGTTTAATTTGTATCTGCATAATCAAATCTTCAGAAACTATCATCTACAGTTTTAGGTACTTCAGTCATAACTCGTGTCCTTAAATTTAGTTGCATTTTGTACACCACTTGAATGGTTATGGGCCTGCCCAATTTGCATGCAAATGCAGAAGGCTTGTAGTACTCTGGGGGACTGTACTTACAAATAACTAGGTGAGCTTAAATTGCATCTACAATTCTAGTGATTGTGTTGAGACCCCTTTTGATAATTTGGTCCAAAGAATGCAATCCATCAAGAACCACCATGACAGCATTGCTTAGGATAGCTTGCATGTATTAAAGATTTGTTCTCAGGAAAATAAGAGCAGACACTTAGATTCTTAGATAATTCAGGTAAGACAGTTTCAAATTGTCATTCCTAAAAAACAATTCCTAGCATAGTGAAGTATTTTTCATCTATAAGTGCAGTGTCTTCTTAGTGTGACAGATTCTTCTGTATTTATAACTCTTACTGTTGTCATCCACATTATCCATGTTCAAAGACCTTCAATATTTAAAAAAAGATGAACATAGTACATGACTACATAATTTTCCCTTTTAAACATTGCAAATTGGCTGGCCAAATGATGGCCTTTAAAGACTTCAAAATGTAGCCAAAATTGGCACCACTATCTAGAAGGGAAATTTTAAAAAAACTAAGAAGAGATCTTTAACTCTTTATAGGTGATACATGACAGGTTTCTAAACATAGTACTGAGTTGTGCAATATCTAAACACAAGAGGTGCAGTTCTCTTTTCAGACTTTCAGACTCATTTAATGCATACTCTCTTCTATGTACATGTTCAGGTATTTCCTCCTTGGAATAATTACCATAATAGCAATGAAATTCAACATTTACACCAAATTAATTCAGTTTAAATTGTGGAATTGAAACAGAATCCTGTGTTACCTTGCCAGCATCCCAGATGAGCACTCTGCAACAAACATTTCAGAGCTTTCTCTCCACAACCTCTTTGCTCTTCCTGATGATTATGAAAAGCGGAAATTAATAATAATAGTAGGGTTGTACAGGCAAATAGGGAGAGCACCACTGTGGTGGAGCAGCTTTTGTTTTAATTTAGGATAGCTGCAGTCCCTGAAGTCTGCACACCTGCTTTGTAGCAGTTTCTGGAATTTGTAAAATAACATCAAAGATTATATATTTGAGAAGACTTTTCTTTCTCCTGCCACTGGTTCCTATTTGTTGTGTAGGTGAGCATGACAATTCTGTTTTTAGTATCTGATCACAGGTTATTCATATCAGTATTTTTTTTACCTTAACAAAAGCTTTTTTATATCATTCCAGTGGGAACAGGAAAATGACATTAAAAATGTTCTCACGGATCTGCTGAGAAGTTAACTTTACTTTTTCATGTCTTCAGAAAGTTGCTCTGTACCATATAAAAGCAAAGGCAGCATTCAGCCATGGAGATAGGCAGTGCTTTGACACAAAACTTTGTATACCTTTGCATAACGAATGTGCAGCAGTTCCAACAGGTTGGAACAGAGCAAATATCCCCAAGGAAAAGCGTTTCTATAATGGTCAAACCATTTACTATTAATTGCTATTAGTAATAAACCACTGCTGCAGCTGCTACCTTCTCCTTTGCCACCTTGTACTCTTCTGTGACAGAGATAAGTATCTGTGGTTAAACAAATAAGCAATGGTTCTTCTGCAGTTTGTTAGATCTTAGTTTAACTTCTGAAACTTCAGAGCCATGTAGAGATATTGTCATGATGTGCTGTGCTTTGAAGAAGAAATCACTCTGGATCCACTTGCATAGAAATATTAACAGTCTTGCCAGTCAGCCTCAGTGCCAACACTGGCTAATTGTATACTCCGTATCAAGAAGTTTTTGAGGAAAGGGTATAATCCAGAGTAGATGATCATGGCTATAAAATTCATTCTTGCTTCCCTTTCAGATGTATTAGTGATAACTATTCCAAATATTCATGTTAGATTTTAATTAGAATTGGCAGGGATGGATGGCACTGATTTTGCAAACTAAGATAAGTCTTTATCACATACCTAGTGGCCTAATTATTTGTATTGCGTATTTATAGACTGTGATGGGGTCCCAGAGATTGCTCAGTTAGCTCAAACTACAAAGAATGGAGCAGAAAACCTCCAAAACTTGTGGTTATGCTAATACTTAAATTCACCAAGCCAGGAACAAAATAACTTGTACAATACCTTACTGGGTAACCAGAAGCCAGAAAAACAATTAAAGCAACCCAGCCTTGAGCTCTCACTCCGACAGCCAAGTCAAATACGATGAGGATTACTGAAAATCTTGTTCATTATGTAAAAAATTCCACCAATTTCAAAGGATCAGACACATTACCCACCATGAATATTCCAGATCTTACCCAAATACATGTCTACAGCCAGTTCTTATTAACTAAGCTAAGATTTATTTTAAAAAATAAGAGAGAGAGAATATAGGTTAAAAGTTCATTATTATAGACTTGAATACAATTCTGAGATCAGTTTCACAGAAGAGGTAATGGGCTTTAGAGTTGCAAAAAGCTCTTTCAGAATTAGTTCCATAGGTTGTAGTCCAGTGTCCAATATTAGGGTGACCCAGACCAGACCTCAGTCTTGCAACTCAAATTTCCCCTGATGAAGCTTAAGTAGTTCAGAGATGACAGGATCAGGACCCAAAAGTTCTTTTTATAGTTTCTAGCATGCTATCTGTAGCCTCTTGACAGCAGGTATTGAAGAATAGTGGCTTTGAAATACCCTCCTATTTCCCTTTAAGCATCATTAGTAGAATGGATTAACATAAAGCAACTGTCCAACTCTGGCCATTTACAAGTAGTTTATTACATACTTCAAAGAGAAATGAAGACAGCGATATTACTACAATCACAATTCATCTAAATATTAATATCCCTTGTCAATCTTTGAATTAACAGAACACTGTGATAAATAGGAACTGTTTGGTTACGTTGTCAACCTCTAATAATATATGTAAAAATACAGAAAACACAATCCTCATCCATTAATGTCTCTGAAGGCGAATCTGAGTCCTTTAGCTTGCTAGGTAACTCTTTCTGGCCCTGTGTCACATAAACACCAGAGATTTTTATGAGGACATTTTCCATACAATCCTCTTTTTTATTTTTTATACTCCTAAGACCGGGTCTACACTCAACCTGGAAGGTTGGCTTAAAGTACACAACTCCAGCTATGTAACATACGTAGCTGGAGTTGGCTTACCTTAAGCTGAGCTTGGTACTGTCCTCACTGCTGGAGGCCAATGGGATCAAATGCTCCTGTTGGCTTCCCTTACTCCTTGCGACTGCAAGGAGCACAGACACCAGTGGGAACTTCCCTCAGTATTCAAGTTACAGATCCATGCTAGAGCTGCTAAATTGAACCCCAGAACATCAATCTTGAGTGTGGCCAGTGAAAACATTGCCTAAGTTATGAAATTACTCTGTAGAAACGTTTCTCAAGCTCCTTGCCATAATTGGACAATGGAGAATTAAAATTTCCCCTTTGACGTTCTTTAAATGGTCATCTTCAGCAACTTCCACATTAGATAGAGCCATGATGAACTCAGTTGGTGAGAGTTCACCTGCTAGGAAGACAATGAATCAATGAAAAGGGGCTTTCAGTCAAACCTGAGGTGCATGTCTGGAGCTGCTGGGTCACCTGTCATTGTGCATATACAGGCAGTCCCCGAGTTACGCGGATCCCCCCCCCCAGCAGACCAGGCTTTTCTCGCCGACGACGCCTGGGGTAGAGCAGCTGGGGCGCTGCCGGGTTGGTCCCACAGCGCCGCTCCTCGGCGCTACTGGACCAACCTGGCAGCACCCCAGTTGCTCTGCCCCAGGCGTCCCCAAGTCAGCCGCTGCTGAAACTGACCAGCAGCTGACTACAGGAAGCCCGGGGCAGAGCAACTCTGCCTAGGGCTTCCTGTAGTCAGCCGCTGGTCAGTTTCAGCAGCGGCTGACTTGGGGACGCCTGGGGCAGAGCAACTGGGGTGCTGCCAGGTTGGTCCAGTAGCGCCGAGGAGCGGCGCTGTGGGACCAACCCGGCAGCGCCCCAGCTGCTCTACCCCAGGCGTCGTCGGCGAGAAAAGCCTGGTCTGCTGGGGGGGAGGGGCGCACTAGCTGCGCCCCCCCCCCCCAGCAGACCAGGCTTTTCTCGCCGACGACGCCTGGGGTAGAGCAGCTGGGGCGCTGCCGGGTTGGTCCCACAGCGCCGCTCCTCGGCGCTACTGGACCAACCTGGCAGCACCCCAGTTGCTCTGCCCCAGGCGTCCCCAAGTCAGCCGCTGCTGAAACTGACCAGCAGCTGACTACAGGAAGCCCGGGGCAGAGCAACTCTGCCTAGGGCTTCCTGTAGTCAGCCGCTGGTCAGTTTCAGCAGCGGCTGGATCTGGACGCCAGTTCCGACTTTCATACAAATTCAACTTAAGAACAAACCTACAGTCCCTATCTTGTACGTAACCCGGGGACTGCCTGTACTTGATTCTGCTTGCAAGACTTCGTCTGTGTCTCTTACCCCTGTGATCTGTATACTCTGCTACCA